ACTGCTCCTCTGCGTGCCCCTTTGCCTTCTCCTCCTGAGTCTTCTCTTCCTGCTCTTGCCGACCCGGAGTCGGACTCTCTTCGTGCTGCCAGTCCTACTGTCACGCGTCTCCTTGCTACTGTTGTCACTGACCCTTCCTTTGAGTCCACTGCTGCGTCTGCCCTAGTTGCTGAGCTCGTCGACTTTGCTGCTCGCTGTCGCCTAGACTACGTCGCCAGTCTTGTTGCTGAGTCTGAGTCTGTCTGTCCTCCGTCCGTCGGGGGTGAGTGTGCCCTTGGCACGGACGTCCTTGAGGACAGGCAGGAGGAGTTCCAGTGCTTGGCCGCTGCTTCACCTCATCTCGTGTCCGTACTGCTTACCCCTGAGGGAGACCCGGATGCACTTGACATCCCGACTCCGCGCTCTTACGCGGAGGCGATAGAGGGTCCCTACTCCTCTCAGTGGCAGGCAGCTATGGACGCAGAGATGGCTTCCTGGAAGTCCACAGGCACCTACGTTGACGCTGTTCCCCCTCTTGGGGCGAACATCGTCAGTGGCATGTGGATTTTCAGGGTGAAGCGACCGCCGGGTTCTCCGCCTGTCTTCAAGGCGCGTTACGTGGCTCGTGGCTTCAGTCAGCGGCAGGGAGTTGACTACTTTCAGACCTTCTCTCCCACCCCGAAGATGACCACTCTTCGGGTACTGCTGCACGTAGCTGCTCACCGTGACTACGAGCTACACTCTCTTGACTTCAGCACTGCTTTCTTGCAGGGCAGCCTGCACGAGGAGATCTGGCTGCGTCGCCCACCTGGCTTCACTGGGTCTTTTCCTCCTGGCACCCAGTGGAGCCTACGGCGGCCAGTCTACGGTCTCCGCCAGGCACCGCGTGAGTGGCACGACACACTGAGGACTACACTTGCGGCTCTTGGGTTTGCTCCCTCTACTGCCGACCCGTCGCTGTTTCTGCGCACCGACACTTCTTTGCCGCAGTTCTACATCCTCGTGTACGTCGACGACTTGGTCTTTGCCACAGCTGACACTGCTGGACTAGCCCACGTGAAGTCCGAGCTGCAGAAGAGACACACGTGCACTGACCTGGGTGAACTGCGCAGCTACCTTGGCTTGCAGATCACTCGGGACAGAGCACGCCGCACCATTACCCTGACTCAGTCACACATGGTGCAGCAGGTCCTTCAGCGCTTCGGCTTCACGTACTCCTCGCCTCAGGCCACTCCTCTGCCTACTCGCCACTCGCTCTCAGCTCTGCCTTCGGATGAGTCCGTAGAGTCGAGTGGCCCGTACCCAGAGCTTGTTGGCTGCCTCATGTACCTGATGACCTGCACACGACCTGACCTTGCATACCCTCTTAGCATTCTTGCACGCTATGTTGCTCCCGGGAGACACAGACCGGAGCACATGGCTGCAGCGAAGAGGGTGTTGCGCTACTTGTGCAGTACGTCGGGCATGGGGCTTGTGCTTGGAGGGCAGAGTCCAGTGGTCCTTACTGGGCACGCAGACGCTTCTTGGGCTGACGACCAGGCTACGCAGCGGTCGTCACAGGGTTACACCTTCAGCCTTGGTTCCGGCTCTGTTTCGTGGCGGGCTACCCGCTCGTCTTCTGTTCTCGGCTCCAGTTGTGAGGCTGAGATCTACGCAGGAGCCATGGCTGCACAGGAGCTTCGCTGGCTCACCTACCTGCTGACTGACCTCGGAGAGCTGCCTCGTTCTCCTCCAGTGCTGTACGTAGACAACAAGGCCATGCTGGCCTTGTGTCGGGAGCAGCGACTGGAGCACAGAACGAAGCACATTGCTCTCCGCTACTTTCTTGCTCGTGAGCTGCAGCAGCGTGGTCAGCTGCGTCTTGCGTACGTGGCCTCTGAGGCCAACACTGCTGATATCTTCACCAAGGCGCTTGCGCCTTGTGACCATCAGCGCTTCTGTACTCAGCTGGGCCTTGTGCCTACCTTGCCTCACTTGCTCACCTCTTGACCTTGCTTGTGCTGTTACATATATATATACCTGCTCTTGCTTGTCTAGCCTTTATATATATATGTACTCCTGCATGTGAACTGGCCTTGTGGCCTTGAACTTGTGCTCGGAATGTGTGGTGACTTTGTGATCCACCCTGAGCTTGCTTTGCTTTACTTTGCTTGACTGGTCTTGTGACCCCTTGTTCTCCCCCACTTTGCCTATGGGGGTGTGTCAGAATATTATAGCTCATGCATATTGTGTAGGCTATAGTGGGGTAGCCCATAAGGGGTACAACCCAATTAGGGTTAGTACTTGTACCCAATTCATTCATAGTTCATTCATTCCTTGTTTCTTCTCACCGACAACCCAGTACCACGTGCGCAACAATTCGCAGAAATATTACAAGCAGCACGAACCAGGGCAACCGAGGCAATAAAAAAGGCCAACGTCATCGCTAAGCGCAACGCCGACCGCCACCGCAGACCTATCACTTACCAGCCCGACGACTTACCGTATCACCCCGGATATAAGCGCACATGTCCTTATAATAAAACATGATTTTTCAAGGGGGTGCGCTTATATTTGAGTGAAAAATATAAGCGCATGCGCTTATAAAATAACAAATATACAATTTTAAACTACTAGCACGAAAATGTAGTTCGCGTCATTGCGCACCCAATAGAGTCGATTTGAAACAGGGTTGTGGGTGAAAAACTCTCGCTACTTGGCAGGGAAAGATTCTATGCCAGCACATACACTCAAAATGAGTCACTAGGAGCTTCTGACAGCACTTGCTGACTGGACGCGCAGCCTGTGCAGGGTTTGAATACGAAGGAAATATGATTTTCAACACATCGCCTCCTAAAGTGAACTTCGTTACAGTAATTTCACAATTTTTCAATTTTAAAACTAACATGCGCTGATAATAAATCATGTTTTTTAAAGGGGTGCGCTTATAATTGAGGATCGGGCATAAGCGCATTGCTCCAGATAGAAGCGCATGCGCTTTTAATAGGCCTGCGCTTCTATCCGGGGTGATACGGTAGTTTTATTCGACACTCAAAACCTCCGCTTGCCCATAACCCCGAAACTCCGCCCCCGATATTGCGGGCCATTTCGCATCAGCCACATGATCGCACGTGTCACCGCCCACCTCCTCCTCCCTGCTGACTGGTACGTCAGCCCGTCCTTCCATGTCAGCCTGCTTCACCCCTACGTCCCATCCACCAGCCAACTGGCCCGAAATCGCCCAGCCAGCATGACACGACCACCGACAGAACCAGTAATCACGCCTGAGAAGATTCTGAGCCACCGAGTTCGTGACCCACGAGGAGCTCGAAGGGTCGAATTCCTGATCCGCTGGAGAGACCGCACGCCCACCGAAGACAATTGGGTTCCCCTGGACAGAACCGAAAACCATTTGTCCTCACCGAGTATCTGCGCAGCCGGAATTTCCGGGATGTACACGTGCTTTCGTAAGAGAGGCCTCCTTAAAGGGGGGGGGGGGGGGGGTAGTGTAAGGAAAATTCCTTTTCCTTACTCCGCGTCCCTGCTCAGCGCGTACACCACTGTTCCCGCCAACAGCACCCCACAATAATCCGTTACCACTCACGACATTCGCCTCGACCCCATTCCCGCCACTGTTCACGATGCGACCCAACCTCACGGTTCGGTTGGTAACCCGCGATCTGGACCTCCGCCTCGACATTCCCCAACCTCGGCACCAGGCCCGTCGCGCACCCCATTTTTCACACGTTACCGTTACCACCGTAGCTTCGCTATATATTCTTCGCTCAATCCTTCGCTCATTTGTATCTTGTCTAGATAGTGCAATCCTCGTTCGCTCACTCAATTGCACTTGTAACACTTTCCTTGAAATGCGTGGACTACCTCTTCCGCTCAGCCACGAGATTTGCCATTAATTCACCGCTTCTCACCGCTCTAGAGCGCACAAGAACTCACTGAGCCCCAACCTAACCAAGTTCTGGGGCATGCCAATGCCAATCAAGCGCCTCGAGAAGTCAAAACCAAGTTCTAGGCCCAGGGACCGTTGGACAGCACCCCTACCTCCCTCTCCTAGCAGCACCCCCCACCACCCAGCCAAACCGACTACGATAAGTATTCGCTGCTGCTCGTGCGAGTGTGTGAGAAGTAGAAAGCAGGGAGCGAGCAGGGAGTGTCTGAGTCACGCTGCCCAGGGTGAGTCACGCGGGCCTATTTCCATCAGAAGCAGCCTGATGGTTGACGTGGCGTCAGTCATCTGTCGTCGCTCTCGGCTCACTTCGTCATGGCTGTCGTGCGTTCTCGCCGCTCCTTCGCCTTGCCCTAGGAGGAACGATCAGGGCGGTTCGCGTCCCGAAAGGCCAGATTTGATATAAACCGTTCTCGACCTCTTCGCCGAACCTATGCCAGGATGCCAAGATTGAACCTGACGGAGAATCATAAATCACGCAACTGGATCCTCCTAGCAGCCCGGCCAGCCAGTCGGACGGGGAAAGAATTATGACAGGATAAGTCATGATCATCTGATCTGAGGGTTCCTACTCCCTCTTGTTAATTCCAAGGTTGATGTCGCTTGGAGGACGTTTCATCTTTTGATCTTCACCCTCCTTGCAAGACGCTACCCTCATTAGACTCGATTCCGTTCGATTCGATTGGATTCGACTAGTCAAGCGTGCTCGATACCTGAACGCTCATGTGACGGCGTGCTCTTTCTAAGCCACCTCGAGAAGCGTTTTCGCCGCGAAGAGAAGGCTATTTCGCTAACGCCGGCTTCGTAGCGGCCAATCACGGGCTCATCCCTGCCGTACCACGCTATGGCGGTGCCTCGAGTTTCCCCCGAGAGCAGACCCAGGACGGACGGATTCGCGCAAGGCTCGGACTGCCCTATCTGCTGGGTATGCCCTCCCTTTCCTCTAGCACACGTCAGCTTCTAGAAGGATCTGCTCTGGCCATTTGTCTTTCTGCGCCGTGCTGATCTTGATTCTCCAGGCCAATCATCTCTACGCGTTTGACCGCCAGACATATCACTGGGCGAACACATCGTGTTCATGTACAATTGGCGGAATTATCCTTTATTCTTCATCATCGTCCTCTTTCTTGTAATTCAGGAAGCCTGAAATTACATCTGAGACAGTTAATTTTATCTTTCCACCACCCTCACCATTTTTGTCCCATCCGCTGCCATTCCTCATCCCCCTTACAGGAGGCCTACGATTCCAGTATAAGATCCCCGCACGTGCTGCTGTGCGGCCACACTTTCTGCAAGCACTGCGTGCTCATCCTCCCTATAGCCGTCTTCAATAAGCTGCCATCGCTGCAGATCCAGCTGCCATGGCTCGTGGATTGTCCGCTGTGCCACTGGGTGACTCCTAGGCTCGTCGTTGAGGGGAATCTGCAGTACCCTTTCAAGAACTTCTCCCTGGTGAGTCTCCACTGAACTGAACCTCTCCCTGGTAAGTATTTGTTTAACTTTTCCCTGGTAAGTTCGGCTGCAGATCCAGCTGCCATGGCTCGTAGACTGCCCGCTGTGCCACTGGTGACTCCCAGGCTCGTCGTGGAGGGAAATCTGCAGTACCCGTTAAAAAACTTCTCCCTCGTAAGCCTCTATTTGTCCCTCGCAAATTCAGCTGCCAGCTATCATTCTGCTGTTCTCTTCGTGGGACACATACAGGAAAAGGCTCCTTACGCTTCAGATCCAGCTGGAAATGTTTCCTGGTAGGAATTGGTTAAACTTCTCATATTCATTACTTTTTTCTCACATCTGTTTCTGTTCCCCGCATGTAACTTCCATTCCTCTCGAGCAGCTGTGGCTTCTAGAGGCTTCCAGGCTCGCTCTCCCTCGAGGCGTCAGCTCACCCACCTCTGCTGCCAGCGCCACCGCGAGCGTCAGACACTCTCCTGCGCGGTCTAACCTCCCAGACGACCTAGAATCGCCTGATCCCTCGCCTCACGACGAACGCTGCAGCAGTGCCTCTGGTGCTCACATCGGCAGCAGCAGCCGCGGCGGTGCCGGCGGCAGCAGCAGGAGGAGAAGAAGCAGTGGGGATTACAGCACCAGTGCCAACAACAACAACAGCAGCACCAGCAGCAGCAGCGCGAATGCGTTTCTGGAAGCCCAGGCGCTGGGAGCCCAAGCCTTGGGCGCACAGGTACTGGGAGGGCAGGCGTTGGGGACTCGGTCCTCTGGTGGACAGACCCTCTGGTGGGTGCTGCCCCGCGTGCTGCTGGAGCAATGGCGCCCAGGCGGATCCCCTGCAGCAGCAGCTGGTGCTGCTGCTGCTGCCGCTGCTGCTGTGGCTGTGCAGGCGTTGCAGCAGCATCAGCAGGAGCAGGGGCAGGCACAGCAGGAGTGGGTGGAAGGGGGACACATCCCCCACCACTACCTGTATCAGTTGCAACAGCAGCAGCAGCAGGAGCAACAGCAGTGGCAGTGGCAGGGGCAGGGGCAGGGGCAGAGACCAGGAGCAGGGTTCCACCATCTGTTGTATTCTAGCAGGCAGCAGCTGGCTCTCTGGCTGCTGCAGCGGGCGATCCAATGGTTCCCGTTCATTCGCACGGGGATCAACGGTGCAGCGTTCTACTTGGGCCGGCTGCGGCAGCTGTGCACGCGGTTACCGTTTCTGGGGGTGCTGGCGGTGGTGAGCTTTGTGATTGTGCCCTGGTGCTCCCTCGCTCTGCTCTGCTACCTGGCGGTGTTTCTCTTTGTGGCCGTGCCTGCTGCCGTGTGCCTTGTGCTGTCCATTTACTGGTCCGAGACGCTCCTGCGGAGACTGACCGGCATGCCCTGACGGCTGGGGAATACGGTAGTGTACAGTGCATTGAGTACGAAGTGTAACCCATGTGGTGGAAACAGAATAATGGTGCATGGCTGCCACTATTGGTGCTGTCAAATTCTTGTGGTAGTTGCTTCATTATCATAAGGTTTAAACAAAAGAAAAAGAATTCTTATAAGAAATAATTAACAGATTGTTACAGCACTACACCACACGTGTAAGGCAGGAGTGGATTAGGTGGGAACAATATTGTCATTTCTGTTTTGGGTACAGAATGTCATAGTGCCCTGGTCGATACAGCAGCGTCATTGCAGGAGTTGCCTGTACACTCTCCTCGGGCAGGAACTCATGAAAATTCGCCTGCCCGGCGCTGCGGTCAAGGTAAACGATCCGGATGGGTACGGCGAGGGCATCTGTGATGGCTGTGACGTGCACGTGATCGCTCTCCTCCCCCATTGGCTCGACCGCCTTGTGACAGAACTGGGGAAGATGAGACAGAGGGGGTAATGGCAGGAAATGGGCATCATAAGTGCGATCAATTGTGATGTGCTCATGATCGCTGTCCTCCCCCATCGGCCACTGCCTGTTGACAGAACTGGCACAAGGTGCAAGGGAGGCACAGGAGGAATGAGGTAGGTGAGAAGGATGGGCTTGAGGAGTGCGATTGTCTGTGACGGCTGTGATGTGCACATGGTTGCTCTCCTCTCCTCCACCACCTTGTGGGAAGGGGAAGGGGGTAAAAAGAGTGGATGAGGGTTGCTCAAGTGGGTATGCAGCAGGCATGAGCGCATCTGTGATGGCTGTGATGTGCACATGGTCGCTCTCCCCCATTAACTCCATTACCTTGTGACAGAACGGAAAGAAGAGGGGGAGGAGGAAGGCGGCATGAAGAGGGATAACTTTTTTACGAGTGACTCAACAACTAATTAAGGAAGAAGAAAGCCATGGTGGCAAGGGTGGGAAAGGCATGTCTCCATAAATCCTGATATGGAGATGAAATATCAGCTGCCTATCCTAGTCGAGGCAGAGATCAACGAACGAACAAGAAAAGCATGGGGGCGGCATGGGGAGGACAGGTGAGCTCCACCTGAACTGAATTGCAGAGTTGTTTCAATGCATGCTGATGGGGCATGCATGAGTATCAAGACCTGAGGTGTCTTGAGGCTCCGCAGAAAGACCCCTTACCTGCTTCGCTGCCTCCTTTGGCCCACCCACGGCAGCCGCGGATTCGGGCAGGAAGGGATGGAAGAAGTCTGCTCGGTGCTGAGTGCGAGTCTTTTGAGAAGTTTCCAAAGACCGCTTACCTGTTTGGCTGCCTCCTTTGGCCCACCCACGGCAGCCGCGGAGTCGGACAGGAAGGGATGGAAGAAGTCTGCTCGGTGCTGAGTGCGAGTCTTTTGAGACGTTTCCAAAGACCGCTTACCAGTTTGGCTGCCTCCTTTGGCCCACCCACGGCAGCCGCGGCGTCGGGCAGGAAGGGATGGAAGAAGTCCGCTCGGTGCTGGATGTCAGCTGATGTGATGAAGCGCAGAAACATGACCGCTGGTGGGAGGAGGGAAGTGGGAGAGTGGATTTGTGGGGAAAGGAGGGGAGGGAATGATGGAGTGGGATGGAAGAAGACTGCTCGGTGCTGATGTGATGAAGCGAAGGAACATGACCGCTGATGGGAGGAGGGGAGGAGAGCGGAGCGGAGGGGAGCGGGCGGGCAGTGGGAGCGGGAAAAAGCAGGATTGTGGAGAAAGGAAGAGAGGTAATGAAGGAGAAGAAGGGAAGATTTCTGCTCAGTGCTGTATGTTGGCAGAGGTGACAAAGTGCAGAAACATGACCGATGGAGTGGTAGTGGAGTGAGAGCACCAATAACACTGCTGAATCAAGTCAAGCAGTGAGGATACAAGAAGAGTATTCACTCACTCACCGTAGTTGGAGCAGTCTGGGTCTTGACAGCGCTTCAACAAGCCATCCACCCTGCCATTCACGCAGGAACACGATTTTCAATCATGACTTTTGAGGTGCCTAAAAAGTCTTGACTTTGAGGCGCCTCAAAAGTCTTGACACCGCCTCCACAAGCCATAGACCCTGCCATGCCCGCAGGACCACAATTCTCAATAGTGTGCCTTGACAGTCTTGAGGTACCTAAAAACCGCAGGATCACAGTGCATAAGACACACATATGCAGCCACTGACATTAAAACAGAGCAAATATTTGAGTAGAACAAATGAGCAAATGAATCAGCAGCGGCAGCAGCGGCGGCGGCGGCAGCAGCAGCAGCACTCACGTGGTCTTCTCTGCTGCACTGGATGGGTCCACGGCATATAGAAGCTCCCGGTATTCCTGCAATTTCGCATGCATGTATGTATGTATGGATACACGGATGGGGACATGGATAGATGCAAAAAGAAAAGAGACAAGTACAAGACAAAAGATGGTGCCTGGAGACTCTCAGAAACAGAAGAAGGAAGAAGAAACCTTAGTTGGATTTGACGCTCCAGCAGGCAAGCGTCAAGCGTCAAAACGGAGAGTTTTGACGCTTGACGCCTGACGGGCGTTTTGACGCTTGACGGACGCTGAAATTTTTTCGGGCAGCCCGAAATCGAAAAAGACACATTTCCCTCTCCCCCCAACTAACGCGACTTCCATTTAGGGTTTCGACAGACACAATTCGACATTGCTACCTTAGGTCGCGACCATAGCCTGAGCGTTTTTAGGGAATCCTAGCTTACGCCATGGCTTCGTCCAACCCTGGTTTTTTTTTGCTGCCCGAAGTTTTTTTTTGCCTGCCTGCCAGAGCGTCAATAACACCGTCAAACTCTCGGAGGGTTCCGTCCAGCGTAAAAAACGGACTGTCAAAACGGAACCGTAAAAAACGCTGGCTCCGTCAAATCCAGCTGAGGAAGAAACTACTTATGGAAAGATAGACGGTGCAAATCAAAGCAGAAAAAAAAAAAAAAAAAAAAAAAAAAAACGAGTCACAGAAACAAAGTCCTCTCACGCTAAGAATCAGGGTACCCCAGACCAGGTCTCAAACATTCCTGTTGATGGCAGGAAGATTGGGCTACTAGCCACAATAAATGTGTGCCTCTGGCAACAGCAAAGTCACCCAATCAACAGTCAACTCACAAGAGCTAAAAGTCTTTCCACGTGAACTAGGTAACTCCAGCCTCATATCTTTAGGCAGCTTCTAAGGCACATAAAAACCAGCAACCAGACGTTAATAAATTATTGAACCAACCCACTCACAGCGGCAAAGTCCTCCCATGTGAACTCGGTGTACCCGAGGTCTCTCAGCCTCTGCTCGCTGCGCGCCACTCGCTCCCTCACTTGCGCGCACTCCTCCTTGCTGCCTCCTTGTAACAGATGTTCCTGTAACGAGATTAGGGGTTCATGCAAGGCGGCTGGTTGGACGATCGTGTCTCATGAAGCATGGTACCCAAGTTTAAGTATTTTCAAACCAGACTTGTTTTTCCTTCTTCTTTTTAATTATAAGGAAAATACATGCACAGAATAAATTGCTCGATCAAAAGCTGTTTCTCACCAGGAGTGCGAAGAGGAAGCAGCGGAAGAAGCAGTTTCCATCTCCTCGAGTCCGCCTGATGGCCTCGTACTCCGCTGCTAGGTGCTGGGCGGTGAAGGTGGGTGAAGCGCGGTGATGGGGGGTGAAGCAGGGTGAAGGGCAGTGATGGGGGGTGAAATGGGTTGAAGGCGCTGAGAAGGAAGGGCGCCGGAGCTGCCGGCAAAGTGAAGGCAAGGCAAGCAGAGCGGGACCGGATCCTTTGATGTCACTCCCGCTCTCATCTCCCCGACATTGAATGCTCATGTCTCTATGAGTCAAATTTCTATAATCTACGAGCTCCCGCTGCTCCTCCTCCCCTCCAACTGCACGCATCTGATCCCGCGTCTTCACCCCACCCCCATCCCATCCCCGCGAGTCCTCACCCCATCCCCGCATCCCTTCACCCCACGCACCTCGATCTTGTCTTGAAACGCGGTGCTTCCCGCTGCGTATTCCGACGCCAATGCCGACAACGGCTCCTGCGGGGGATTGCACGGGTTGACGCAACTCCGGAATTCGAAAAATGAGGACACGTCGACTCAACGGTCACCTTGACTCAAAACGGTTGAAGAATTTCGAAAGTTGAAACGCACGAAATAGCGGAAGACCTGTTCGAAAATGGTCACAAGGATCAACTAATGATCCCGCACGCTTCTACAATTACCCACCCTTCTACAATCACGAACCTTCTCGCCGACAAGCGGGTACCACTGAGCTTCCTGTTCCCTCATCGCATTCTGCTGCGCTAAAATCGCCTCGTCCGACGGTCGATCGTCGCCTTGCGACTCCATGCGACAAAATCTGTGAGGCTGCGGTTCCCTGAAGAACCTCCCACTACTCTCCTAGCGACTGAGAGCTACAAATATGACCGTTGAATTGAGAACCGCGGGGGAATGGGACACCCTACTGCGCAAGAGGGCAAACTGGGTGGGAGGAATTGTGAGAAACAATTCCATTAGCAAGGATTGCAAAATTCGTTGACATTGGTAGTTCCGCTAACTGTTACAGCATCAAAAAAATTCGACCTTTATGGGAGGCCTTTGTTCAACTTGAAAGCCTTTTCTTGTAAGAGGCACTAGCACAAGAGAGCTACCATATCAAGAGCTACAATATAGGACAAAAAATTCAGCACCACCATGGCAGAGTGAAACGAAACAGGGTCGATCTAGACAGTGCAGTCAATGCTCATACCGTCCTGTGAACCCATATTCCAAATGCCGACCCAACACAAGCACCACCCATGGTAGACCTTTCGAACCAACTCAAAAGTAGACGCATCAACCCAGTCAATACCCATATCCTCTTGTGGACCCATATGCCTCCTCAGCACCAGCTATATTGGAGTGACTTTTGAGAATTCTCAGAAGTCCCTCCTCAGCACCAGCACCACCCTGGCAGGACAGAGCTTTGAAGCAGACTCAAAAGTTGACAGGGTCAATCCAGTCAGTACCCATCTCCTCCTGATGACCCATATGCCCCGCTAGCCCCAGCACCACCCCCTGCAGAGCTGGAAGGGTAAAAGAGATGACCGGATGCTTGGAGCACCTCTGAAAACTGGTGGGACGGGGTCGGGTCAACCCAGTCAATACCCGTACCCTCCAGTGGACCCATATCCACCCCCGGTCCCAGCACCACCCCCAGCAGAGCTGGGAGGGTAAAGGGATGAGCCATAGCCTGACAGGTCTGTCGGTGCCGAGCCATACGCCGGAGCTGACGCTGCAGCAGACCCGTACGCCGAAGCTGATGGTGCAGGCGCAGGCGCAGGTTCGGCATAGCCTGTGTGTGAATTCATGAAACCCTGAGGGGAGAGGAGTGCGGAATGGAAGGGAAGGAGTAGAAAATCAGCACGACACCCACAGACCACAGTCCCCTGTCATGTCTTCCAGTCATAAACTGCTGCATACTTTGATTCGATTTTGCGTAGAAACTCACATTCTCATTATTTGCCACACCCTCTTTACTCCACACCCTAAACTTACAAAGCCAGTACCCACGCACCTCAATAAGCTGCTGTGCCATCTGCACTTGGGTGGCACTGCCCTGCACCTCCACCGTCATCTCCGGCTGCCCTCCCACCCCCCGGCCGGCTCTCACCCGTTCACCCACCCACCCGTTCACCCGTTCACCCACCCCACCCACCCACACACCAGCAACCACTGCTCACCTCGATGAGTTGCTGTGCCGTCTGCACCTGGGTGGCACTGCCCCGCACCTCCACCGTCATCTCGGGCTGTCCCCCTGCTCCCCGGCTCTCCAACTCGCACCCGTTCACCCACCCACCCAGCAACTTACTGACCCAAGTAGCTTCTTCTCACCTCAAACATCTCACACTCACCTCAATCAGCTGCTGTGCCGTCTGCACCTGAGTCGCACTGCCCCGCACCTCCACCGTCATCTCCGGCTGCCCTCCCGCCCCCCGACTCTCCTGAATGGTCACTGCGGCTCCGCTGGTGCGGCGCAGGAAGACAATGTTGGTGCCGTTGGGGCCGATGATGGCATCGACATATGATAGGGGGATCTGCATTGTGGCGCTGACCTGTTGAGAACAAAGATGGGCGAAATGCAAGAAGGCGTGGGTGGGATGGACAAAAAGGGGGGGTGGAAGGGGGTGGTGTAAGAATCGGGTAACACCCCCGCTGGTGCAGCGCAGGAAGACAATGTTGGTGCCGTTGGGACTGATGATGGCGCCGACATATGATAGGGGGATCTGCATCGTGGCACTGACCTGGAGGGCAGGATGGAAGGGGGTTGGGGCAGGGGTGGAGGGGAAAAAGAGTGGAGAGTCAGGAAGGGGCAACACCACTAACTGGTGCGGCGCAGGACGAAAATGTTGGTGCCGCTGGGACCGATGATGGCATCGACATATGATAGGGGGATCTGCATCGTGGCGCTGACCTGGAGTGGATGGAACGGGGTTGGGGCAGGGTGGAGGGGTGAAACAGTGGAGAGTCAGGATGGGGCAGTAAGACTGCTGGTGCGACGCAGGAAGACAATGTTGGTGCCGTTGGGGCCGATGATGGCGTCGACGTACGACAGAGGGATCTGCGTGGTGGCGCTGACCTGCCAAGTATAGAGATAGGGGGGTTGGGGTATCAGGGAATGGGAAAAGCGAGGGCGGAAGGGGGCAGGGTTTCAGAATCAGGCAACACCACCGCTGGCGCCGCAGAGGAAGACAGGGTGCCATTGTTTGGAGCCAACAAGAGTAGGAGAGAGGGACCTGCATGGTGGCGCTCACCTCACCTGGAGGGTGGGGGACGGAAGGGGGAAGGGGGAGGGACATTATTAGTCATGGCAGCAGCGGAAGAAGCAGCAGCAACGACAGGGGACGCAGTGGGTGGGGGGCTACGGGGAAACTCGGGAGGGGGGATGTGGGGAATGGGGTGTATAGGCCGAATGGGAGGGAAAGGAGTCCCCAGCACTCACCTGAGTGACGACAGGCGAGACAGTGTTGGTCATGGCAGCAGCGGCAGCAGCAGCAGGCGTCTCCCTCCCATACTTGGATAGTGCGGCCCGCAACTGCCCACTCGCATCCATTCCCCCCCCTGGCCCCGCTGCTGGCCCCCCTGCTCCCCCCATCCCCCCTGCGCCCCCATATCCCCCTCCTGCCTGCGCCCCCTGTTGCTGTTGCTGCTGCTGGTACGGCTGTTGCTGGTATGACGGCGGCTGCTGCTGCTGCGGCGGCGGCGGTTGAGAAATCTGTTGGCTGTAACCCAAGCCTCCTCCCGAACCTGCTCCCAGGCCTCCCATGGCTGAGCCGTACCTGCTTGGGCGGCAGGTAAAAGACACGCAAAGAGGGGATTAGGAGAAAGGAGGCGATGGGGAAGAGACAAGGAGCATGAGCGGATTCACTGTCGAATGAGAACTTGCACTGCAATTAAGAAATTTTCAATATTGGACTTACTGTTAGCAAATGCTGCTATGGTCCCCAAATAAGGTGGTGTTACGGTTACCACCACTCCCCACCCCACCCTACCATCATGACCACCCCTCAACCGCTTCATACCTGTCAGCACCCCCCATGCTTCCCAGGGAAGAGAGGGAGCCATAGGGGTCAGGCGCAGCAGAGGGAGGGAGGTCGAAGCGGGAGCGGTGGGGGGGAGAGTGCATCCCCCCCGGAGGAGGGTTCCCCCACCCGCCTCCGTGGCCAGAAGGGGAAGAGTAGGGCGCACCCCTGGGGTCCATAGGGGGAGGGAAGGAGCGCTGGGGTGGGGGAGGCAGGGGGAAGAAGGGGGGAATGCACGGGGGAAGGAGGGGGAATGTGAGGCTAACGGGGAAGAGTATGTCGCAGCCCTGGGGTCCATGGGGGTGGGGAAAGGGGCGCTGGGGCAGGGGATGCAGGGTAATGGGGGGAGAAAGGTGGGGGGAAAGAGGAGGGGGATGTGTGAGGCAGAGTGGGGTACATGGGGGGAAAGGGGCGCTGGCCCGCCAGGGGAGGAGAGAGAGGGGACGGAAAGTGAGGAGGCTTTGAGAAAAGGGAGTGGTGTGGTGTGGGGCGGGAAAAGGAGGGAAAATAGGCGACAAATTGTTGAAAGAAGGGCAGCAGTCAGAAGGGGAGAAACGAGGGAAAACGTGAAGGAATGAGCGAGGGACGATGGTGTGAATGTGGGTGGGAAGTGGGTGGAGTGGGGAGTAGTGAGGGGGATGGTGAATGTGGCAGAGGGATGAAGACTGACACATAAAGAGGCATATGCATTGCTCAAAGAGTGGCAGCAGCACGGAGTGGTATCAGAGGAAGCGATTTTCCTCGTAATTTACCTTAAAGGAGATGAGAGCATGGGCGGATGGGTGGATTGGTGCACGGGTGCATGTGGGCACGTACGCATTGCTCAAAAAGTGGCAGCACGGAGTGGTCACAGAGGAAGCGAAATGAAGGGATGGGTGGATGGGTGGACGGATGGGAGCACGGAGGCACATACGCATTGCTCAAAGGGCGGCAGCACAGAGTGGTCACAGAGGAAGGGAGTTTTGAGGCGTCTCATCTAAAAAAGATGAGTGCATGGGTGCATGGGTGGATGGATGCATGAGTGCATGAGTGCATGAGTGCATGGGTGGATGGATGCATGAGTGCATGGGTGCATGGGTGGATGGAGGGACGTACGCATTGCTCAAAGAGCGGCAGCACGGAGTGGTCACAGAGGAAGCGCCTGAGATGCAGAGTGACGCCCTTCACAGCCTCATGCACACACGCATACTCCCCCGTCACCTCCACCACCCGATCGTCCTCCAATGCACATGGCGGCACGTCCTCTGGTAACAGGGGAACAGAGACAACCACAAAGGAAAAGGAAATGTTGGTTAAAAAACGGGGATGCTCACTGCCTCTCGTGCACACACACATACTCCCCCGTCACCTCCACCACCCGATCGTCCTCCAATGCACATGGTGGGACATCCTCTGCTAATAAGGGAACAAGAAGAACCAGCACAAGCAGGGAAGCGCCTGAGATGCATAGTGACGCCATTCACTGCCTCGTGCATGCATGCATGCTCCCCCGTCACCTCCACCACCCGATCATCCTCCAGGGCACACGGGGGCACGTCCTCTGGTGAGTGGGTGCGAGGGTTGAGAGAAACAAACAGGGCAGGATTGCTTCCATGATGTGCACACACGCATGCTCGCCTCGCCCCTCACCTCCACCACCCGATCATCCTCCAGGGCACACGGGGGCACGTCCTCTGTTCAGAAAGAGCAAGGAGAACCACACAGAAACGGAATGGGAAATGAATTGATCGAATGGCGTCATGCACACTCGCATACTTCCAGAAGAAAAACAAGGGGCCGAACGACAATGTTCAGCCAAACAAAACCCGTGAGTTTTGCATGTCAACCTACACGCACATACCAAGAGAGAGGATCCTGATGTGCGCCCCCGTGCTGTCCTGCAGCACTTTAATCGTCTGCCCCTGCCGGCCAATCAAGCTCCCAGCCTGTGTGGCCGGCACCAGCAGGCACGTTGCCACCTGCCCCCGGAACCCCTCTCGCGGCTGAAACACCCTGTGCTACCACCGCAGCCAGTGGTACAACCCCACCCCACACACATGCACGTACCGAGAGACAGGATCCTGATGTGCGCCCCCGTGCTGTCCTGCAGCGCTTTGATGGTCTGCCCCTGCCGGCCAATCAAGCTCCCAGCCTGCGTTGCAGGCACGAGCAGGCGAGTGGCCCCCTGCCCTCGGAACCCCTCTCCCGGCTGAGACACCCCGTGGTACCAGCACCACCAAATACAGAGCTACTAGAGCATGGAATTCAACCAGCATACACGTACCGAGAGAAAGGATCCGGATGTGTGCTCCCGTGCTGTCCTGCAGCGCTTTGATGGTCTGCCCCTGCCGGCCAATCAAGCTCCCAGCCTGCGTTGCAGGCACCAGCAAGCGAGTGGCCACCTGCCCTCGGAACCCCTCCCCCGGCTGAGACGCCTCGATATCGTCCTCTGATACGCCCTCCACGATCCGACGGTGCACACGCATCATTGCCACCACGGCTGGCGGGAGCTCTAAATCAGGGTCCTCTCTTCCTGAAACCAGCACCTGGGGTTGAAAGGCAGGGTGAATGAAGGAGGTGGGGGAGGAAATAGGAAGAGGTGGAGGTGGGGGAGGAAATAGGAAGAGGTGGAGGTGGGGGAGGAAATAGGAAGAGGTGGTTTGTCCTCTGAACACGCCCTTGACAATCCGACGGCGCACACGCAGCATCGCTAAGACGGCTGGGGGAAGTCCTGAGTCAGGGTCCTCTCTGCCTGACACCAGCACCTGAGGAGGCCGTTGGGCGGGGTGAGTGAGGCAGGGGGAATTGAGGTGGAGAGAGGGTCATGAGGGAGAGAGGGCAGAGGATCGACTTGTCCAGGCTGCTGCAATGCAAATCAATACAATTCCAAACTCGAAGCGAAACCTCACGCAATATGTAACCCTTCAATTCAAGCCATTAAAAAGTGATCCATACCATACAGCCATCACATCCAATCCAACGTGATCCAGCGCCTTTCAAGGCACAACCCAAGCCCAGACTCTTGTAACCAGCTTACCACACAGTTGTCAGCGCCCGGAGTCGATGTGACATTGTTAGTCGACTTAAAATTTCGATCCTTAGCACCCTACGAGCTCCCCAACCACGGACGAGCTACAAGCCTCTTACCACGCGGTCGTCAGTGCCCGGAGCGCCCTCCACGATTTTAACGCGCGCCTTGGTCTCGTCGCAGATCTTCTTCACATACTCGCCGCGCCGCCCTATGATGCTCCCCACCTTCCCCATCGGCACCACGAACCGGAACACGTTATCCCCCGGCCATCCCGGCCACCGCTTCTGCTCCCCGCTCCCCCCACCCCTCTCTCCGCCTGGACCACCTCCGCGCTCCCCGCGCTCCCCCCGCTCCCCACCCCACGCGGAGTCGCCCGGTTCCCCGCCGTACATCTCCCCCGCGGAGCGCTTCTGCCTGTGTTCCCCGTGCTCCCCGCGCGTATCCCCGCGCATGTCTCCCCCGTCCCCGCCGATGCCAAGCGCGCCGAGCCCCGTGGAACGCGGCGCAGAATCCGGCGGGTATCCTCCGCCGGAAGGCGGGTAACCCTCATTCGACGGCGGAGGATAGGGGGGAAGCGCGGGGGTTGGTCCGCCATGGGGGGAAGGCCCACCGGGGGGGACTCCGCCAGGCGGTCCGCCGGTTGCGCCGATGGTAGGTTGGCCCATGGAGAAACTAATGTTGGGAAGAACCATCTTAATTCCCGCGTCGTCGGGAGCAGCGTCAGCGCCAGAAGCGGCGGATCCGTCGGGTGCTGTACCGTTAGTGGGGGAGAGCGGTGGACCCTGACCTTGATTGTCCATGGCGTCGGTAATGTATTCGAGGCGGCGATAATAAAATGGGAGCGCAGCACCTTAGCGCAAAAATAAACCTTTCACGAACGACTGGTAACCGCGGTTCAATCGTGGAAAATGCCAGTCTCTGTAATACGGTATGCAAGGCCAGGCCGCCAAGTTATGATTCCGTTCGAGTCTAGGAAAAGTTTCCTCGCTACCAGACAGCTCTCAGAATCGTTACTGGTCGCGTGTAGTTCGGATATTTGTAGAGATCAGACAGTATTCGGCTTGAAGAGAGCACATACATTTGCAATGGTGTTTGAATGCCAAATTTAGGCAGAACAATTTCGGGAGTATGAAAATGAACGAATTTAACTTGCCTACGAAATGAGAATTACCCCAAAAAGAGAAGAGAGACTTACCCAAAACCGAGAGGCTGTATATTTTTTTGCTAGTCGTCTTGTAAAGACGTAAAAAGAAAAATACATTTGTGTGAATGATTCAGGCGTACGAATTTGTTGGTTCCCAAAAGCACCTTTCTTTCACCAATGTCACAATCACACCCCCCTCACAACCACTCCAGCGCGAAGAAACTCTCTCCAAGCCCTTTCCGAGAACTTCCCCACTTCCACCTTCAAGTACCGCAGTCTAGGGAAGCTTTCAAGAACCCCTCCAATGCCGGTTGCTGTAATCTTATCACACATGACTACAGTCAAACTAGCGAGCTTTCCCAGTCTGCTTCTCACTACCACTGCATCTGAAAATGTGTCACTTAGCTGTACACTTAGCTCTTCCAAACTGGCACATGCAGCAACCAGCTGGGTCAATTCTTGCTCCTCTAACCCTAAGCAGGACACCAACACAAGCTGCTTGAAATGCCCAAAAACAGCAGCTCGAGCGATGGACTGAAAGCACATTGGCTGAATGCTTGGGGCTGGGGCACACGAGCGGGAAAAAGAAGGTGGGGGGGGGAGAGACAAACGAGAGGAGACTCAGGAGGGAGGGTTGAAGGCAGCCATGAGGTGTGAAGGGGGGTAGAGAAATAGAGCCCTTGAAGGGTTAAGGAGTCTAGGCGAGGGCAGAATACTTGCACACGTACTTCCTCCCCAACTGTCACCTCCCCACCTGCCACCTCCCCTGCTGCCCCCTCCCCTGCTGCCCCCTCCCCTGCTGCCCCCTCCCCTGCTGCCACCTCCCCTGCTGCCCCCTCCCCTGCTGCCCCCTCCCCTGCTGCCCCCTCCCCTGCTGCCACCTCCCCAGCTGCCACCTCCCCAGCTGCCACCTCCCCAGCTGCCGCCTCCCCAGCTGCCACCTCCCCTAACCCTCTGTCTTCGGGTGTGCTTGCCACCCGTTGCGGTGCTGCTGTCGTCCCTCCCACTCCATGCCCCTCACCTGCTGCTGCCCCGTCTCCTCCTCCTGCTGCTGCTGCTGCTGCTGCGGCTGTTACCTCATCCTCTACTCCTGCTGCTGCTCCATATCCTCTTACTGCTGCTGCTGCAACCACAACTGGTCGCGTCCGAGGGGCTCCCAGAGAATCGCTAAGTTCACAGAAAGACTCTATGCTATCATGCATGGCTTTACGTTGCACCTTCAGTCCCAATAGTTTTTCCGCCAACCTCTGCACCCGAACCTCTGCATCATCAGGATCCATGCAGCTGATTTCATCCCCTTCTTCCCCATCCATGCCTTCTTCTCCAAAATCTAGCTCTGTAGAGAAAAAACCTGCCACCTGGCTAACAGCAGAAGTTAAATCGAAGTCAGGGGCAGCAGCTGAATTTGAGTCGGCAACAGGAGCAGCAGCAGCAGCAGCAGCTGCTGCTGCTGCCCTCATCAGCTTTTCCTCCCACTCGACAGCCGCAAAGGCCTCGTGGATCCCCCCTGCAACATGACCGGCACACCAAAATCCCGGACCTGACATTCGCGAATCTGACGGCAAACCAACCCTCGACGTTACCAACCTCTGCAATGTCTGGCGAAGAATGGGCGACCTTGCTGACTTCCTCAGCTTCTCTAAAGAGTTTGACTACGCTACTCGCTGCTGTAAACTTGTCTTCCATAGCCGCTGCTATATCTGTGCGAAAATCCACGTATCTCCCTCAGTGTTTGTCGCTCCCGTTACCTGCTGCTGCCCTCGGTGCTACCCGTGCTGCTGCTGCTGCAGCTGCTGCTGCAGAAACACATGGACTTCCTTTCTCCCACACTTCCGCTCCACCGTCCCCTCCAGCCTCCCCTGCTGACCGCCCGGCCGCATCCGCCATCCGCTCCACCCGCACGAGCATACTCACAAGGCCGTCCAGAGACACGCCCTGCGGAGATCGCATCCGCGAGGAATTGGCCGTCCCTTCCACACCCAGCGTGCACAGGCGCCTGCAGTCTGCAAGCAAGCCTGGGCGGAAGGATGGGAGGTCGGCGAGGTGGAGGGAGTGGAGCTGGGAGGAGAAGCGAGCGAGCAGGGAGCGGAAGCCCTGTGCAGCGAACAGACGATAGGTGGTTTCGTGGAGGGAGAGGGAGGAAAGAGCAGGGTTGGCTTGAAGGATGGGGACGAGGGAGTAGGAGGAGACGAACGGGCAGGAATGGATGGTGATGTGGGTGAGTCTATGGAGGGCGCGTGAGAGGGAGTGGAGCTCGTACGGATCAATGGTGCAGGAGTGGAGGGAGAGGAAGGAGAGGGACGAAAAGAGGACAAGGGGTGCAAAAGAGCCTGGCACTTGGGCGGAGTGAATGGCGAGGGACGTGAGGGATGTGCGAAGAGAGGATGGGGAGGAGGACGCAATGGGGAAGAAGGACGGGGAGGAGGACGCAATGGGGAAGGAGGACGTGGAGGAGGCAATGGAGGAGTAGGAAAAACGGGAGGAGGAGGAGGAGGAGGATGAGGAGGCAAGGGAGGAGGAGGAGGCAAGGGAGGAGAGAGTGGAGAATTCAGGGCCCCAGATGGTGAGCGAGGTGAGGGAGGAGCAGCGATAATGGGGAGGAAGTTTGAGGGAACGTAGAGGAGAGAGAGGGACTGCAGTGAGGGGAATAGGTGCATGGGAGGGAGCGCCGGCTGCTGTGTGTGAGAGAGGCGCGAGCACGCAGAGGGCGAGTTTAGCTCCAATGAAGCCAAGAGCCTACATGGAGGGAACGGGCGAGAGGGGAGGAAAGGGGAGAGGAGCGGAGGAAGGGGAGAGAGGGAATGCGCATAACTTTGCACTCGGTGCTCCATTCAGGGCGTGTAAAGGCTCGCCAGAGAGCTCTGTAACATCCCAAATCAATAAAGTCATAAATGAATGAAGAGACGGGCGGATGGACGCTTCGACGGACGAAGGGGGGGACGGACGGACGGATGGATGGATGGTGACGGAAGCATGATCATTGGGCAAAAGGTCTTGAGGGGGAGAAGGTGCACAAAAGTGTCAACTCACGGGCATTGCTTCACGAGATTTCGCCACGATGGACCGTTGACGTCAAAGCTATCCCAAGCCGACACCTCCAGCTTCAGGTTTTCCAGTTTCGGGCAGCCCGCTGCGATCCCTGCAATCAGCTGGTCCCCGAGACCACTGGTGATCTCCACGGTCAGATCCGTCATGTGGGTAAATACCCCTGAATAATCCTCAAACTTTTTCAACCATTCTCCCCGATTCGCAGCCCTTGATCTGGAGTCGAACTCGAGTCGGAGCGCATGTGGCGTGCGCCGCGAGAGGTGGCGGAGGCGGGCGCAGGAGAGCGCGACGTTGCAGCGAACGGATGGGTGATCCACGAGGCCGAGAATGATCTTGAGGAGCTCGTCGGGGAGTGATAGCAGCCTGCTATCCTCGGCGCCTTCTCCGTTTTCCGCCATCACGAGCTGACCGCGATATAGAGAGTCGGGACGCCTCCAGAAGCCACAGCTGGACAAGAATAACGAGTGACAAAGGAGCCAAAATGAGGACCAGAAGCAATAGGAAGCCGATGCAGAAGATATTCTACAACGGATATCGTCGGGAAGACGCCTGGCAAGATTTTGCTGAGAAACAGGCGTTTCGTAGAGGAAAGGGGTTCATACCCAGCAGATCGGGCAGTTCGAGGCTTGCGAGAAGCCGTCCGTCCTTGGCCTGATGTCAGGGCGAAACTCGACGCACCACCACGGGATAGCGCTTATGAGGCTGGAAGCTGTTATGATGCGGTTCCGGAATAACCGCTACGAAGAAAAGCGTTTACGGCGCTTCAGAAGAAAAGCGCCATCACGTACACCTGCAGGTTCGCGCATACGTGAGAGTGAAGGCTACGACTCAGATGTGAGGATGGGATCGAACGACGAGATTTCTGTCAAAACGAACTAATAACCTTCGAGGGAGGACGGCGAACAGCAGGAGGATTCTTTTTGTCTTGCGTTCGAAGTCGGGATGACTGTTAGGAGATGATGTTGTTGCTTGATCCTCCGTGGTTGGGTCCAGGAGGTAGAAACCGTACCCAACCGATCTGGGCCTCCTGAACGAGCGGAAGCGAAGCTGCACGACAGCCATGACGGAATCAATGCGGGGCGACAGATGACTGTCTCCACGTCAACCACCAGCTCCCGTGCGCTGGATTGGCCCTGCGTGACGCACTCACTCTCCTCTTCCACAAGCTCACGGAAATGCGTTAGTGGCTGCATGTGTGGAAGAGGAGCTCTCGAGGTTCTCTACGTTGGGCTCTGGGACGGACGATGTTTCCCAAGAGCTTAGAGTTTTTTTCCTAGGGTCGTGCTTTGCTTTCAAGATGTTTTAGGGGAGGGAGGAGAGCGCGGCTGCTGCTGAGGGAGGCAGGGACCGCCAGAAAACATCCCCTAGTGCGTACGTCCGAGGGGTGTCATGTTTCAACGAATTTTGTTTTCGAGCTCAAGCCAAGTAAATTTGAGGGCTCTATTTGAAGGGTTGGGGGGCAGCTGTACTTCACCAAATTTTTAAACTACAATTCCACAGAATACATTTTTATGCAACTTTGTGTAGACAAGTTTTTTTTGCTTGCCTCCAACTGAATGGATATAATATCATCTTCCAGGAAATTTGAGGGCTCTATTTGAAGGGTTGGGAGGCAGCATCTCACACACACCTCACAACCACACCAGCGCGAAGCAGCTCCCTCCTAGCCCTTTCCTGAACCTTCCCAACTTCCACCTTCAAATACCGCAACCTGGGAAAGCTTCCAAGAACCTCTCCAATGCCTGCTGCGGTGATCTTATCACACCCGAGCACAGTCAAACTAGTGAGCATACTCAGTCTGCTTCCCGCCATTACTGCATCTGAAAACTTGTCGTTTTGCTGCACCTTTAGCTCCTCCAACTTAACACAAGCAGTGAGTAGTATCAGCCATTCCTGCTCCTCCAACCCTAAGCAGCACACCAAGGCGAGCCGTTTGAGCTGCCCCAAAACAGCAGCTCGAGCAATAGACTGAAAGGACATTGCCTGAATTCTTGGGCTTCGGGCGAAGGAGACCGAGGAGGAGAGGCAAGTGGAAAAGGAGGAGGAAGATGCGTGGGAGAAAGAGGAAGGCGGGGGGGAGGGAAGAAACATGAGAGGAGGCGCAGAGGGAAGGGTTGATGGCAGCCAGGTGTGGGGAGTGGTGGAGAAGTAGAGCACTTGGAGGGTTAAGGACTCCAGGCAAGGACAGAACACTCGCACAGGGATTGCTGACTGGCACCCTTCAGAACGTTTGCCTGTGGATTTTCTGCTGATTGGCCGCTTTCCATCCCCTGGTGCTGCCTCCCCTGATTCCGCCTCCCCTGGTTCTGCCTCCCCTGGTCCTGCCTGCCCTGCTGCCACCTCCCCTGCTGCCACCTCCCGTGCTGCCGTGGCCCCTCCTCCCGCTCCGTGCCCTGTTGTTCTTCCCTCCCCAGCTATTGTCCCTCCATGCGCTGCTGCTGCTGCTCCATCTCCTCCTGCCGCTGCTTCCCCATCTCCTCCTGCCGCTGCTTCCCCATCTCCTCCTGCCGCTGCTTCCCCATCTCCTCCTGCCGCTGCTTCCCCATCTCCTCCTGCCGCTGCTTCCCCATCTCCTCCTGCCGCTGCTTCCCCATCTCCTCCTGCCGCTGCTTCCCCATCTCCTCCTGCCGCTGCTTCCCCATCTCCTCCTGCCGCTGCTTCCCCATCTCCTCCTGCCGCTGCTTCCCCATCTCCTCCTGCCGCTGCTTCCCCATCTCCTCCTGCCGCTGCTTCCCCATCTCCTCCTGCCGCTGCTTCCCCATCTCCTCCTGCCGCTGCTTCCCCATCTCCTCCTGCCGCTGCTTCCCCATCTCCTCCTGCCGCTGCTTCCCCATCTCCTCCTGCCGCTGCTTCCCCATCTCCTCCTGCCGCTGCTTCCCCATCTCCTCCTGCCGCTGCTTCCCCATCTCCTCCTGCCGCTGCTTCCCCATCTCCTCCTGCCGCTGCTTCCCCATCTCCTCCTGCCGCTGCTTCCCCATCTCCTCCTGCCGCTGCTTCCCCATCTCCTCCTGCCGCTGCTTCCCCATCTCCTCCTGCCGCTGCTTCCCCATCTCCTCCTGCCGCTGCTTCCCCATCTCCTCCTGCCGCTGCTTCCCCATCTCCTCCTGCCGCTGCTTCCCCATCTCCTCCTGCCGCTGCTTCCCCATCTCCTCCTGCCGCTGCTTCCCCATCTCCTCCTGCCGCTGCTTCCCCATCTCCTCCTGCCGCTGCTTCCCCATCTCCTCCTGCCGCTGCTTCCCCATCTCCTCCTGCCGCTGCTTCCCCATCTCCTCCTGCCGCTGCTTCCCCATCTCCTCCTGCCGCTGCTTCCCCATCTCCTCCTGCCGCTGCTTCCCCATCTCCTCCTGCCGCTGCTTCCCCATCTCCTCCTGCCGCTGCTTCCCCATCTCCTCCTGCCGCTGCTTCCCCATCTCCTCCTGCCGCTGCTTCCCCATCTCCTCCTGCCGCTGCTTCCCCATCTCCTCCTGCCGCTGCTTCCCCATCTCCTCCTGCCGCTGCTTCCCCATCTCCTCGTCCTCCTCTTCCTACTGCTTCTGCTGCTGCTGCATCCCCCGCTGCTGCTGCTGCTCCGGCATCTCCCGCTGCTGCACCTCCCGCTGCTGCTGCTGCTGCATCCGCCACTGGTCGCGCCAGCGTGGCTCTCAGAGCTCTGTTAAGTTGACGCAACGACTGGAAGCTGGCGGACATGGCAGCAAACTGCTCCTCCAGTTCCTCCAGAAGCTCCCGCTGCCTACCCAACCCCTCTTCACGTGTCTCCACCGCACTGGACCACACCCCACACAGCACACCCTCAGGCAGGACATCATCAGGCAGCATGCCATCCATGCCCCTGATGTCATCTCCTTCCGCCTCCCCATCCCCATCCTCTTCTCCAACATTCAGCTCCATAGCAAAGAACCCTGCCACCTGGCCAGCAGCCGTCTCTATATTGGAGTCAGCAGCAGCGCCATCTATATTCAAATCAGCAGCAGCAGCAGCATCTGTATTGGAATCAGCAGCAGCATTTGCATTGAATGCCCTCATGAGCTTTTCCTCCCATTCAACAGCCGCATTGGACGCCCCGATCGCGGCAGAGAAGGACCGGCACGCCGAGATCCCGGACCTGATCTTCCCGAGGCTGGTGGCAATCCGAGGAACTGCGTTCTCGCCAACCACGCGCGTCGCCCAGAGCGCGTCGTAACGGGCGGCCTTTGCAGCTTCGTCGGCTGCTTTGAAGAGGTCGACTACGTCAGTGGCTGCTGCGATCTTGTCCGCCTGGGCCGCCGCTGCCTCTGTGCAAAAATCCACATACTTCCTGCCACGTTTCCTGCTACACCTGCCTGCCACTGCCGGAACACCTGCATGTCCATTCTCCCACCCTTCCGCTCCACCAAGGTGCAAAATTTCGGCAAACGTAAAATACGGTCCGTTTTTTACGCTCGTATTTTACGGTCAGATTTAAAAAATTCGGCCGTTTTTTTGTTAGAGATTTTGTGACTTTTTTTTTTTTTTTTTGAAGACAGTACACACGACTCTGCTCCTGAGCAGGATAGCAAAGAAGCAATACAATGCTTACAAAGTGTCTAGGTTGCGCTCGTTCAACCCTCCTCCTCCTCCCGCCAGACTCTTCATCCTCTCCTCCCTGGAGTCACCGTTCTACTACAGTCCCACTGATAAATCCCCTTTGTCTTCCTCATGGCTGGTTCATCCGTTCGAGGGTTCATGGTTGGAACCAATACTTGAAAATATGTGTAAACCAGCTGGTTACAAGATTTCTGGTGTAAAAAACGGCCGTTTTTTTGCACCACATTAGAATTACCACTTTTTGGCGTTTTAAAACGTTTTAAACGGCCGAAAAATACGATAGCGTATTATACGCCAGAATTTCAATCTTTCGGTCGTTTTTTTGCACCTTGCGCTCCACTCTCCTCTGCCTCTCCTTCTGCCTTCTCTCCTGCCTCCCCTCCTGCCATCTCTCCTGCCTCCCCTTCTGCTTCCCCTCCTGCCTCTCCTCCCGCACCCCCCATCTGCTCCACGTGTACCAGCATAGCCACAAGGCAGTCCAGAGACACATTGTTTGGCAGTAGGTTCTCCTTAGACTCGATCACCCCTTCCACACTCAGCGCGCTCAGACCCCTGCAGTCTGCAAGCAAGCCCGGGCGGAAGCAGGGTAGACCAGCGAGGTGGAGGGAGCGGAGCTGGGAGGAGCAGCGAGAGAGGAGAGAACGGAATCCCTGTGCTCTGAACAAACGGTAGGTTGTTCCGTGCAGGGAGAGGGAGGAGAGAGAAGGATTGGCTTGGAGGATTGGGGCGAGGGAATCGGAGGAAATGAGTGGGGAGGAGTGGATTGTAAGGTGGGAGAGGGAATTGAGGGAGTGTGAGAGGGAGCGGAGCTCGTATGGGTCGATGGTGCAGGAGTGGAGGGAGAGGGAGGAGAGGGAGGGGAAGAAGGCGAGGGAAGGCAGGGAGCCCTGCAAATCGGCGGAGTGGATCGTGAGAGATGTGAGAGTCGTGCGGAGAGAGGATGGGGGGGAGGACGCGAGCGGGGAGGGGGGAGTGGGGGGGGCAGGTGAGGAGAAGGAAGCACGGGAAGAGCGGGACGAGGAGGAGGAGACAAGGGAGGAGGAAGAGAATGCAAGGGAGGAAAGATCGGAAGATTCAGGGGCGCAGAGGGTGAGAGAGGTGAGGGAGGAGCAGCGGGAAATGGAGAGTGAGTCTGAGGGAACGTAGAGGAGCGTGAGGGACTGGAGCGAGGGGAGGAGGTGCACGGGAGGGAGTGGTGGCTGCCGTGTGTAGGAGAGACGCGAGCGCGCACGGCGCGAGTTTAGCTCGAGGGAGGTCAAAAGCCTGAACCAAGGGGAAGGAGGTTTGTGAAGGGAGGGTTGAAGAGGGAGGGGTGAAGAGGGAGGGGTGAAGAGGATGAGGTGAAGAGAATGAGGAGAACTCTTCTTCTTAAAATTCACGAAAGATAGGGATCGATGGACGGACGCACGGACGGACGGACGGACGGACGGACAGACGGACGGACGGACGGACGGACGGACGGATGGACGGAAAGATTGCACGCGTACATGCATGATGGATGGATGGATGTGGATACGGAAAACTACTACTTACGGGCAGTGCTTCGCGAGCTTTCGCCACACGACCGTTGACGTTGAAGCCAGTCCAACCCGTCTCTAATTTCAGTTTTTTCAATTTCGGGCAGCCCGCTGCGATCCCCGCCATCAGCTGATTCCCGAGCCCGGATGAAATCTCCAATGTCAGATCCGTTATGTGGGTAAATACCCTTGAATAATCGTCAAGCGCTTTCAGCCATTGTCGCAAATTCACAAATCTTCGGCACGAGAAGTAGTCGAGGCGGAGCGTGTGCGACGTGCGCCGAGAGAGGCGGCGGAGGCGGGAGCAGGAGAGCGCGACGCTGCAGCGATCGGATGGGTGATCTTCGAGGCCGAGAATGATTTGGAGGAGCTCGTCGGGGAGAGATAGCAGCCTGCTGTTGCCGGCGCGATCGCTTCTTTTCGTCATCTCGAGCTGAACGTTTTCTTTTGAGCTACCTGGCTAATTGCCTCCTCTGCCAGTCAAACTACTCCACCTGGAAATGTATGTAACCTCGGAAGGCGTCTTAGTGACACGTCTAATATAACGATCAGATGACCTATGAGACTGCAATAACTCCTCGGGGCGAGAGAGAACAGTCGAAAGAGTAACTCAAGAATCGGGCAGTTGCGAGACGACAGACTCCATGACGGTGAGTACTCTTGTGGCGGGAGGTGGACAGAATATTACCATTGACAGAATATTATCGCGACGACGGGTTTGTGATGTGTGAGCTTTGCACGCACACTGGACTAGACGGGTGTGATGCATGCGTCTCTTTCGGTTGGTTCTTCTGATGGTTGCGGTTGGTTGTGATGCGTTGTGCAATTTTCGAGAGGGAATGACGGACCGCCCTGGTTTCGGGTTTCCGATTCCTTTCGGCAGTGGTTTTGACACCGCCTTGCTTCGCGCTCGAGTCCGGTACCTTCGGTCAGTTATTTACGCTATTCCCCCTTTTCGAGTCCAGAGACTAATATTGTGTTTTTCTCGGGATATCATAATTGAATTGTTGCGTCAATTACGAGAAGCTCGGGACAAGAAAAATATACCCCTCATGGAGGGCATGCCATTTGGGAGGCATCAACCCTAAACACCATGAGGCGAGATGTTTAGGGTTGATGCCTCCCAAATGGCCAGCCATCCGAGAGGGGTTTATTTTTTCCACTGGCCACTAAACTAGAACCAGGTCATCGTCAGAATTTCCCTGGTCACAGGAAATTGGAAATGTCGAAATCAGCTGCCACAAGGAATCGGACGCGAGCGGAGAAGCGAGGCGGCGTCAAAGCCACTGCCAAAAGAAATCGGAAACTTGAAAACAGGGTAATACGTGATTTCCTCAATTTTCGAGCTTTCAAAACGCGAATGAAAGTTTCGTCAACGGATGTTGGGAAGGGAAGCAGGAACACGCTCGCTGATTGGCGGAACTGTAGTGCCATGAATTCAAACCGAACCGAACCGAGAGGTGTCTGGATTGAACTGAAACCAAACAAAACCATCAAGCCACGAAAAGTCAGTTCGGTTCACCATTGTTAAAACTTCTGGAAATCTACAAAAGCGTATAGAACCAGATTAAACATTTCTGTGCCATAAGGTACCCACCCCAACCCACCCAACGGCTTACCGCCCATGACCCCTTTACGAGATCAGTGATCTTCTGCGATAACGGAGACTCTGTCGCTCGAAATGCAAGTCGGACTAAATCTGAAACGAAACGTCTGATTGGTGTCACCACGTCGCAAATCTGATGTCAGCGACGCACGACGACTACGTGTGGAGGAATGAGTTAGCTTGTAGAGGGTTCGAAGTTATGAACCACGTAGTTTTTCCGGAGAACGTCATGATTTCTTATTTATCAGAACCAGCCTTGTTTCTGACACCACTGGTATGGTGTGCCAGAAATGCTCGTTGCTCCGTTACTGAACAGCTATGCTTAGGCTGTAGCGAGCGTATACATTTGCAATGATGTTTGAAATCTCAAGTGAATCTTGCATGTGAGGAACTAAACGACGAGAAGTTGACTGACGAAATGCAGTGACCTAAAACCAACCTGTGTCAGGCAAACTCACAGCGGGTTGTCGCTCAAAATGGGGAAGGCAATTTTCTCTCCTTCTAACCACTGTTGGGGAAATTTGCTCATCAAGCCAACGAGAGTGAAACCACGTCAAGCTAGGGCAAAGTCGCTGTGAAATCTATGGTCGCCACTTAAGCCACGCGCTACGAGGCAACTCCCCAGCATGCCGTCAGTTTCCCCCAGCATGCCCTCATGTTTTCCTCTCCCCGCCCTCATTTTCTCCCCTTCTTGCCCTCACTCTTCCCCCTGCCAGCCCTCAGTTTCTCCCCTGCTTGCCCTCAATCTCCCCTCAGTGTGCCGCCCCTGCTTCCAGCCTTCCTCCCCCTGTTTAACCTGTGCTTCCCCTTTGCTTCTTTCCTTAAACATGCGGCTTGCCCTCACGTCCCCCTTGCCCTCCGTCCTCCCCTGTTCACCTGTGCCACTGCGATGCTTCCTCTCACCTTCCAACCCTATGTCCCCCCACCTGCTTGCGCTTGTTCCCACCCTGCCTGTGCTCGTCCTTCCCACCCGCTCTTCCCGCCCTTACCTCCTCCCCCCACCGCAACTGCTTATACTTTGTCCTCCCATGTTTCCAAATTAAGTCTACTCAATATCAATAGCAGGGCTGACACAGGAGGGTGGTAGAATGGTGGTGGTGGGAATGGGGGAGGAGTGGTAGACGGGGGGGTGGACGAAAGGGGGGAGAGGAGTGGCAGAGGAGGGGGGGGGGGAGGGGGGAGGAGTGGTAGAGGAGGGGGAGAGGGAGGGGGGAGGAGTGGCAGAGGACGGGGAGGGGAAGGGGGGAGGAGTGGCAGAGGAGGAGGGGGGGAAGGGGAGAGGAGTGGTAGAGGATGGGGGGGGGGAAGGGGGAAGGCGTGGTAGAGGATGGGGGGGGGGGGAAGGGGGAAGGCGTGGTAGAGGATGGGGGTGATGGTGCAACTTACTAGGAGTTTCTGCTGCTATTTGAGGTGCTGGTGACCCAGTGGGAGAAGGGACACTCCCTCCCCTCCCCACCCTGCTTACCTTCCCTTCCCCCCCTGCTCACCCTCCCCTTCCTGCTCACCCTCCCTTCTCCCCTTGCTTACCCACAGTTTTCACTCTTCCCGTCTCGTTTTTCCCACCTTCCCCCTACTTCTTGAGAGCTGCACTTCAAAGCATGGAGCAACCATGAACCTGTCGGTCTGAATTTAGGCCTGTCCACGGTGCTGAATCCCATGATAAACTAGGGAGGGGAGATGGAAGGAAGAGAGCGAAAACGAGAAGGTAGGGAGGGAAGACGGGGAGGTAGTGAGGGGCGATGGGAAGGAAAGGAAGGGAGAGGCAGTCGGTGCTTTTTCACGAGAGGATTTTCTTGACGTGGGCTTTGGGAAATTTTGAATGGGCATTGGAAGAGGCTCGAAAGTGGTTGAGAATATTCTGATTACGGTACCACTAGGAGCTCTTTCTACCCTGCAACACCGCACTTGACAACAGTTTAACACTATTTACATTTATTTACATGATAAGAGTCATATCGTATCATTGTTCCCAAAAGCAGCCTTGACACACATTTCTGTCACCCATGTCACGCTCACACCCCCCTCACAACCACACCAGCACGAAACAACTCTCTTCGAGCCCTTGCCGAAACCTTCGCCACCTCTACCTTCAAGTGCCGCAGCCTAGGGAAGCTTCCAAGAACCTCTCCAATGCCGCTTGCTGTAATCTTACCACACTCAACCAGAGTCAAACTAGCGAGCGTTCCCAGCCTGCTTCCCACCACCACTGCATCTGAAATGTCGTTATTTTCCAACACCCTTAGCTCCTCCAACTTGGAGCACGCTCCCAGTAGTTCCAGCCAGTCCCGCTCCTTCAACCCTACGCAGCACACCAGGGCGAGCAGCTTGAGGTGCCTGAAGGCTGCAGCTGGGGCAAGCGACTCAAAGGACATTGGGTGACAACTTCGGCACGGGGCAGAGGAGGAGCAAGAAGAGGCGGGGGAGAGGGAAGAGGACGGGGATGAGTGACATGAAGAGGATGGCAGCGAGGGGGAAGAGGAGAGGTACATGCGAGGAAACTCGGAAGAAAGGGCGGGAGGCAGCCAGTGGGAATGGGGCATGGAGGCGAAGGAGAGGAATTGGAGGGTCAAGGACTCCAGTGGAGGGCAATACACTTGCACGGGGACTGCTGCATGGCTCCCTTCCGAATGCTTGAAGCTTGACTTTCCGCTGCTTGATTGCACAAACCCTGCTGCTGCCTCCCCTGCTGCTGCCTCCCCTGCTGCTGTCTCCCCTGCTGCTGCTTCCCCTGCTGCCGCCTCCCCTGCTGCTGCTTCCCCTGCTGCTGCCTCCCCTGCTGCTGTCTCCCCTGCTGCCGCCTCCCCTGCGGCTGCCTCTCCCAGCACTCTGTCTTCTGGCTTGCTTTCCACCTGCTGCGATGCTTCCACTGCCCCTCCTCTCACTCCGTGCACTGCTGCTCTTCCCTCACGCAATGCTGCCACCCCATGAGCTGCTGCCGCTCCATCTTCTGCTGCTGCCCCATCTCCTGCTGCTGCCCCACCCCCTGCTGCTGCCCCACCTCCTGCTGCTGCCCCACCTCCTGCTGCTGCCCCACCTCCTGCTGCTGCCCCATCTTCTGCTGCCGCCCCATCTTCTGCTGCTGCCCCATCTTCTGCTGCTGCCCCACCTCCTGTTGCTGCCCCATCTCCTGCTGCTGCCCCATCTCCTGCTGCTGCCCCACCTCCTCCTGGTGTCGCTGCCCCACCTCCATCTGCTGCCGCATCCACCACTGGCCGAGCCACGGTGGGTGTGAGAGGCCGCATGGAATCAAAGCTAGCAGACATGGCATCAGTGTGCTCCCCCAGCTCCTCCATCAGCGCCTGCAACCTCTCCACCCCCTCTGCACGTGTCTCCACCACATCAGACCGCACCCCACCCAGAATGTCATCCATGTTCCTGCTTCCATCTCCTACTTCTGTCTCCTCCCCATCCATGTCCTCCTCTTCTTCAGAATTCAGCTCTGAAGTAAAGAACCCTGCAGTCTGGAGAGAAGAAGCAGCAGCAACAGCAGCAGCAGCAGCAGGTGAATTATCCACAATGGCCATATGGGAGTCACCAGCAGCAGAAGCAACAGCAGCAGCAAACGCCCGCACCAGTGCCTCCTCCCACTTGATCGCCGCATTGGCCTCACGTACCCCGGCACAGAAAGACCGGCACGCCGAAATCCCGAACCTGATCTTCCCAAGGCTGGCAACAATTCGAGGCACGGCGTTCTCACCCTCCACACGCGCAGCCGAGAGCGCATCGGAACGGGCAGTTTTGGAGGCTTCATTTGCTATGTGAAAGAGGCGGACCACGTCGCCTACCGCTGCTAGCTTATCTTCCTGTGCTGCCTCTGCCTC